TGTGTTGAGCGCTCAGTGGATCTGCGCTCGACAGTGCAGCCTAGGCGGAGTAGTCAAACGCAGATTCACTGAGCGCTCAACACAGACAGCATCGTCAGAAGGAAAGTTGATAAAATAAATTACAAATTTTGTATTGTTGATACATATGCGTACCGAACCGAAAGCACTGTATCGAACGGTTCAATATCGATACGAGTATCGTTGCACCCCTAGTAAGGCTGTATTACAGTTACAGTGTGGTGGAACAGAACAGCACAGTCAGTGGCTTCAGTCTTTTTTGGGGGGTTTTGCCTTATTGGTCAACGGCTATAAAAAATAAAGTGTCAGCTTTCACTTTAGACCTGTGCTGCTATCAGCTCGACCTTTTACTTCCACCTGCAGTCTGACATTTTTCACCAGCATGACCTGTTGTTGACTTTCAAGCCAAGTACATTACACTGTATACCCATATAAATAGCCTGTTGTTTTCTATGTTACTGTTGTTGTTGCACTGACCTTAAACTGAGGACCAGCACTAACCAGAAAAGCTAGGAGTCCAGCCTGGGATTAATCTTGTATTTATTAGTTACTTTGGAAAAAACACAGCATTGTCATAAACCATTATTTCTACACTGTCTATTCTGCATTTTTATGTGCACTCATGTGTTATCGCACTACACTGTTTTGTCTCACAGCTGTTGTGTGTTTTTAGCCCTTATTTTATACTCTGGCTCATTTATTTACAGAGGATGAGCAGCAGCAGAAGACCCTGTCATGTAGTAAGTCAGTGAGACAGCTGACCTTAGAGAGAGATCAGGCCCTGGCTGACCTCAACTCAGTGGAGCGCTCCTTTGCTGACCTCTTCAGGCGGTATGAGAACATGAAGGGAGTCTTGGAGGGCTTTAAGAAGGTCAGTAGAGTCTCAGTATGAATCACATGAGAAGCTGTGTGGGCCACCTTCGCATAACTTGACTAGACCTGTTTTACATGTGTCTCTCCAGAACGAGGAGGTGCTAAAGAAATGTGCTCAAGACTACCTGATGCGGATCAAGCAAGAGGAGCAGCGATATCAAACCCTCAAAATCCACGCTGAGGAGAAACTCGACAAGTAAGTCTGCAATTTAGGCTTCCAAGATTTCATTTCTATTCAAAAACTGACTCCTGAAATTCCATTTACATTTCAAAGCTAGGCGTCATTTCTCATTCTGACATTGTCTGACATCGTTTCTTCTGTAACAGGGCTAATGAGGACATAGCCCAGGTACGTGCCAAGGCAAACGGTGAGAGTGTGGCCCTAAACGCAAGCCTGAGAAAGGAGCAGATGAAGGTGGAGTCACTTGAAAGAGCTGTCCTTCAGAAGGTAGGATAAGAGCAAATTTAATTAAAATGATCTGACTGTGTTTAACTGTATTAGTGATGGAAAATTGTGCTGAAAAACCTAGGTAATTAAGACTGAAAGCTCTACTGGGTCTTGTCTGTGTGCTGAACACACTTTTCATTTTCTTCTGCAAAAAGATGTCAAACAAGATGAGTTTAAGCACCAGTGTCTGACTGTTGAATGAACTGCTGTGTGCAGTCATTTTTTCTGGAAGTTAAACAATTAGCAGTTTTTAGTCACTGCTTCACGCAAAACCTGATGTTTCCTGTCACTTCTTTTTTGTTTGGGTTTATCTTCAAGATAGTGAAAGAGATGATTTCCTGTTTTCCTTATTTTACTTCTATAAATAGAACACAGTCCAGCAGAATAGTGATTTTAAATGCACTTAATTTACAATGATCTGAACTGCCCACTAGAGGGCAATGTTCTGTTTACTTAAAGCAAAATCGTCAAAAGAAGGACAAACTGCAGAGTCCCACTAACTCCATAAATTCTGAATGGCTTATATGTTTAAGTTTTAGCACATTTAACTCTAATTTTTTTTCTGTCTTTTACAGAATCAAGAGATTGAAGAGCTCACCAAGATCTGTGATGAACTGATCGCCAAACTAGGAACAGAATAGGACGCCTTTCATCAAACTCTGTGGCTCTTAATTGCTTCCTCTTCAGCTCCAGATTTTTCTCACAACAACATCTGCTTTAAATCTTTTACATGATCATAGATCAGGCACATTGCAACTTTCATTGCTTGTTTGTTTAAATATACAGTATATTACTGAAGGACAGTATGGTTGCACTTGCTCATTTTCTGCTTTCAGACTGAAATACGATGAGAGTACAACTATTGTTGTGTTAATCATGTCAGGACCATTGAAGAAGCACACAATTATAACAGGATGTAATGTTGTTGTTTGTTTTTTTTAATAAGTCACTCAATGATTTGTAAACCTTTGCTTCAGGATTTACAGTAAAGTATCATTTTACGTTTCTGGGATTTACCCATTTTCAAGTGTTGTCTCATCACGTCTCGCCTCATAAGGATTTTCCACCCCCATTTTACACTGCATGTGTGCAGGAGCTAAGGGAAAAGATGACGCTGGCAGGGATGCATGCACATTTTCTTTACACCAGAGCACATTTATACTGCAATTAACTGCGTTAATAATACAATCCATGTGCTGAGTGCCTAAATGGATCATTTTGTATAGTTTTCAGGTCATTTATCTCAGATTAAGTAAGTTGCCTTTCAGTTTGTATTTCTTATTTCACAGGTTTACACAGTGTGTCCTTCAGTTATACGTGGGTTTACATTAAGCTGTTTTTGAATCTTGGGGATTGTTAAATATAAAGAGCACTTCAAAAGAATCAAATATTAAATCCAAGTTTTTAATCACTTTGATGATACTTTGACTTTAATATTGTAAAACCTGCTTTTATTATGCTGTAGTACAAAACCATGTGGCATGTTTCATTTTCGACTGCTCTGCGTTTGAGTGTGGAAAAGTTACCAGTTGCCATAAAAATTTTTTGGGGTTGTGTCCATATTTTATTTATGAGCCAAAACATTGCTTGTGCCTTTTGAGAGAAAACAAAAGAAAGACAAACAGGTTTATTTTTTTTTCTTTGTGCAGTTGTTTCCAAGCTGTTTGCAAAGAGTACTGTAGTCAGTGTATTTCTTGTATGATTGAACTGCAGTCAGTTGCAGTGGATTTGCAGTTTCAGTGCTATCACCTTCAGCAATAGATCAGCGAGGCCTGTCGGGTTCATTGTACATCTTTTGCTGTATCAATATTTTCTGGTCTGATTTCACTTGAATAAGCACACGAGTGCATTTTTGGTCCGAAGTGTATAAAAGACACATTTTGTACAGTAGCCTTCATTACATCAGCACAATCAATTGCCAAATGTCACAGCAAAATGAAGTGGGTTTCAGTGTGACCTCATGTCCCGTCGTGGTGGTGTTAACATTAGTTGGAAGGTGCTTTTAAAATTCACAGTTATAGTACATTTTATACTTTATAAAAAGAGTATTCATAATTGTGTTGCTAATGTTTGTAAAACGAAAGAATTACGTATACTCAGATTGTATGTCAACTGTTATATTTTGTGCATTCCTTAATAAATGGTTAAGATTTAATAATATGCCACTCTCCTTCTTGGTCACAATCATTTAAGCTCGTTTAAATCATCAGCTTCCGTTGTAGCAATAAATAAATGAAAACAGAGGCAAGCTAAATAGGAGTCATTGCCTACTTGCATGGCCAGTCTGTCGCAGGGCCAACACACAGGGACAGGCAACCATTTGCACTCATATTCACTCGCACATTCACAGCTAGTTGCAATTTGGATTATCCAAATAACCTATCCCAAGCTGGATGTCTTTGCACGGTGGGAGGAAGCCGGAGGACCTGGAGGGAACCCATGCAAACACCGTGAGAACATGCACACAGAAAGACCCCGGCCTGATGGTGGAATTGAACGCAGGACCTTCTTGCTGTGCGGCCACAGTGCTAACTACCATGCCACCGTGCTGCCCTAATTTCAACAACAAATTGATTTAGATGTGTAGACTACAAAAAAAAACTTCAGTCACCTATGTGAAATGTGATTTACATCCCCATGTTATGTTGCAGCTTGAATGAAAATACAGCCTGCTTCCTGTTCCTCTGGGCTCGAGTGGGGCTGTCAATCATTTACATGTAACGGAATCTGTGGAAAGCATGTCATTGTTACCCAATAATCACTAATTTTGCTTGTTTGGCTTTGTCTTCATTAAATCCCAGTTTCCCTGTTACATATATCCTTTTCTGATTCAACTTGAGCTGTTAGGAACATTAGGACTTTGCCAAATGTTGCTACGGATGCCATCAGATTCACTGTAGAAACACAGTATTTCTCCTAGTGAAGCAGTTATGAGGTTACTGGTTTTGTGGGATCAATTAGGATCGAGTGTCACACTAGTTAATTTCTAAATTAGGCTCATTTCTATCTGGAGTCTGGGTTTTTAGATAGCAGAGAGAAGAAGAGAGAATTTGTGCAAGTTTTTTTGATCAACATACTATAATTTTTAGTATCTGACATCTGATGATGACTGATATGAAGACTTGCTTGTTATTCTGAATTACACTTCTTGCATAGGCCAACAGTACATACATACCTTATCAAGCTGGCCTGTTCCAAGCCTGGCACTTCAGTCTTTTTTACTACACATTCTTTCCACATGATGGTGTCCTTAACACCAGTGTGCTGGGATACCCTCATGGTTAAGGCACATGCCAAATAACCAAAATGTTCCAGGTGTGAAAGAGCTTGCTTGACATGTCATTTTCCTCTATCTTAAGTCAACCAGCCTCTATTTCCACACTGTCCTGTCTAATTAAGGTATAAAAAAAAAAATGGAAAGCCCAGTAGAAGCAGAAACTCAGCACCACCCCCTTTATTCTAATTGACCAGCCATTTCACTTTCTCGCAGTCAAGATCATTATTAAGTGGACAACACCAGATGTGTTCAACAGCGAAAAATAGGAGGAAATCATCATCATTATCAGTTATATGTCCCTTTATTGACAGTTTTCTGCTTTTCTCTTACTTTGGCATGTTGAACAATACGTTGGAGAAAATTAGTCAATCATAGAAGGCATGAATTGACAAAACCATGTTAACTAATATTATAACGCAGGGCAACTACCATTTAAAACTCCTAGAACGAGTAAAAAAAAAAAACTCAGTCATTTCCAGATACAAAGAGACCAGGACCCTTAGATTTTGTAACTTCGGTAATCGGGTCTGAGGGGGGCGGGTTTAGGATGCTGAGGCACCCTCCCATTGGCTGCTGAGTTTGTGAAGAGTGGGACGGGCGCGCGCTGCCAGCTGTGAGGGGAGCAGAGGAAACGGCCCGCAGAGTACTAAAGGGACAAAGAGCCCCTGCTTCACATGCCATCCTGTAAGACAGGTTGGAAACCTCAGCGTCCTCAAAAGACTGTGCTGACTGTCCTCCGTCTGTCAGAGTAAGTCCTTTCACTTTGGAGACAGCCTCCCTCCCTCCTGCTGTCCGACTGGATGTTGTTTGGCACGTGCATGAATGTGTGAAACTTTGAGATATCACACTTTGTTCAGACTGAGTTTTGCCTAATGGGTTCTCTCTTCGGAAACTTAAAAACCTGGCAGGATTTATATTTGCATGTTCTGTCTCTTTTATATTCATTGAAAATGTATTTTATATCAAGTATTTTTTCTTTTTCCCTATTTATGTGTCGAAGCGCGCTGGGGTTTGCTGTATCAGAACACGAACTACAGTCCTGCTAGTAACAAACTTTTATCATGCATGCTAACTCTGGTGATGACAGTAGACAGCTGTGCTAAGGACCCTTCAACACCTACCGATTTTGTAGTCGATCTTTCTTCACTCTGGTCAGGGCTTAATATCTCTTTATCGGTGACTAATTCAGATGAACAACAGACAGCACAAGAGCCCTGATTTTGCCTGAAAAAGCAATAAAAGTATGTAGGATTTGAGAATTCCTATTTTAAAGGGCAAGCAGTATTTAATTATTGTTTGATCCTATTGTTTCTTTGCAACTACGGTACACGTTTTAAGCTTTGCATGACACAGCATATGATGTAAAAATGTCCATTCACCACCTTTCTGGGACCACAAGTTTTAACTGTTAAGAGTAGATTCTTCTGTAACATATGGGTGTGTCTACAGAAGTGTTGCCTATGACATGCAATATGTAGAAGTATTTATTTAGAAGTATTGTTTACTCATGGATTTTGTATTAAATTTTATATTAAATACAAAATCCATGAGTATAGTAAAACGCTCTACAAATACAGGCCATTTACTATTTTAAATACACCATAATTGTACACGTGCTGGTTGGAGTATAGTTTGTGCACGCACAGCTGTTCAGAAATTCACTCAGACTCTGACTGACTGATTTAAAACAATTACAGTGCGCTTTTTCACTCCCTTGGTTTAATAAAGTACAAGACTGAATACTGAAAAGCCAAATTAAAGTGTCTCTGTACTCATGCTGAACCCATGTTCATTTCACGGGGAGATTGACCAGATGTTTCCGTATCGCGAAACATATGCTTCACAGTCTGATAATTTATAGGCTGTGTACTCCAGAGGAGGTTTTTCAAGTCTGAAGTTTGTTTGGTTACCATGACGTCAACACAGGAATCCCCCCCCCCTGCTCCCAAATCCCCTCCCAAATCTCCTCCCAAATCTCCTCCCTTGCTATTCAGAACAGGATGATGTGAAGGTGTCCTAACGTTCCCTCTCCTCCATCCCTCCCTTTACTCCCTCAGGGCTCATTGTCCCAACATTGAGACATTCATGGTTTGCCATGAAATAATGATGCACATGGAGTCAACTTTCTTTGTGAATACAGGTTCAGAGAGTTTACCTTGGCCTCCAGGCATAGATCAGCAAATAAATAAGACGGGCAGCCCCCTCCCTGGAGGAGCCCACATTTGCTCTCCATTAGGCTGTCAGACAATGGAGAGAGAAATTCTTGCCACCTAACCTATGTTCTTTCCCAGATTTTCCCCAAATTTCCCTTTTTTTGGCAGTCGTGTCCATACGTTTGCTTAATATACTGTGAAATTGTGGTAATTTCTTTTACTATACTTGCGGTTGCAAAGTTTCTAGTGTCAGTTCTCTTGAAGCCTGATATGAGAGCCAAACCAAGCTCAGCATTTTATACAGATACCGCTTACTCTCAAATAAACTGAACTACCACATGCCACAAAAGACTGTCTTCCTCGGCCTGTCTTCAGATAACTCTCCAGGTTAAATCCTTGGAATTGAGAAAAGCCACTTATAAAAATGCCAAAAACACACTTTATTGCAGTGTTATACAGCCGATGGTCACAGTTCTTTGTCTCTTTGTATCTCTCTTTAGGGTATTAGTCTTTTCCCTCATCATTCTGCATCATGCTGCTCCTGGCTGTTTTCTGCTGTCTCCTTTACACCTTGCTGGTGCCATCCAGCGCCCAGTCAGACTCTAACCAGCCTGTGATCCAGCTACGTCTAGCCGGGGAGAAGAAGAAACACTACGAGGGTCGGGTCGAAGTCTTTTACAATGGAGAGTGGGGGACGGTGTGCGATGATGACTTCTCCATCTATGCTGCCCAAGTGGTATGCAGAGAGCTGGGCTTCACGGGTGCCGAGTCCTGGTTGCCCTCAGCCAAGTACGGAAAAGGGGAAGGTAAGAAAAAAACGCACTAAGTTAATGAGATGTGTGTGTTAGTCACCAGGACAACCATCTACAACTTCATCTAATCAAAACCCTCCAAAGTTCGACTTCAGATTGGTGCAGAAAGTGAGGTTCAAGTTATAGTGAAATAATCTGAGCATCCCTGAGCTACTCAACCACATCTACTCAGAAATAACCTATCACTACATGCAGTTTCATAATTTCCATGAAAGACAGGTTTCCCCTTGTCTAAATGCTTATACCCTGAGGTACTGGTTTTCCCATCAGAGGAGAACTGAGACACACCAATCAGTTCAGAGCACTGGAAGAAGGAAAGACTGGAAAGATTTGGAGCGTTAACCAGACGCATACACAGACGTAATCTCATCTCCTCTTTTATAGCCTTTGTATCTTATGATTTCCACCATAGCAGTAAAAATACTAACAAGATTCCCAGCTCTGTAAATGTGTTAGCTGCTGGAGGTGAATGTATGTATAGCGCTAAATGAACTCTTATTAAAGAACTCTTATTAAAGAGTTCATTTAGAGCTGCCAAAGCATGTCTTCACTCAGTGAGCCACTTCAACAGTTAGGTTAACTTTTCACAGCATTGCTGTCATTATGGAAATTTCAATTCAAGTGTTTTGCAGTTTTATGCATATACTATTATATACCTATAGTGTTTTATAGGAAGCATTTAACAAATAGCTTGTACTATATAGCTGTGTGTGCATCCTGTGTGAAGCAGTTGTTTGGGCTCTATTTTAGCAGTGGTTCGCTATATAAAGATGATGTCCTCTGGGACTTGGCTTTGGGAAGGGTGTGCCCCTCAAATGTTTTACAAACTCAGTGAAATGGCAGTTATGAATAGGAAAGCTGCGAATTATATTTTGCACTGATATAAAAAGTTGCACAATCTGAAATAAAATGATCTTTGTGTTGGTCAAAAAGAGAAGGGGGTCCTTGTTTTCCTGAGTGGATGTCAAATTTGCAGTGGAATCACTTTAAAAAGACGTGTTCTCACATGTGTTTATATGGAAACTAGCTTTATCTGGATTTGTTTTTTGTTTTTGGTGGAGACAGATGGCTATAAAAGTGATCAAGAGGATTTCAAATTTCCCATCGTGATGACTAATGTGCTGTTGAAAGCAACCAAATGTTTCCAATTGAAGACATAACAGCAGAACAGTTATAAGGACATCCTACTTGGATGAGCGTTTTTCCTGCAAGGAGGCAAATCATATCCCCAGCTGCTGTTGCACAAATGCTGTTTGCAATCCCAGTGTGCCCCCCTCCTCCTCCCCGCCCCCCAAAAAAGGGGGAAAAAGACAGTGTGCAAATGTTACAAAGGTTTTGGCTATGATTTAAATTTTCTACAAAATCCATTTAATCCATGTTATGCAAATCCCTTTAGGTTTGTTTTGAGCTCTTTGGCTATGATATTGACATAAAGTGCTAATAAAGGCTTAATTTATACATTTATAGCCCCATGTAGACTGTCCTCTCTATTTTTTTCAGTGCTTGTTAAATCCCCATAAGGCCTGCAAATGATGTTCCTACCAATGCAGTCTAGGCTTAGAACAGCTGGCAATGCTGAGTATTTGCTTAGATAAAGGTGTGCTGAGACTGAGCGGGTTCTCCCTCTGCTGTATTCCAGAACCAGAGTGCTTGGCTCTTATTATAACGACGATCCAGGGGTAATCACTTCTCTGCCAGGAGGAAGCTACGTGACCATTATATCCAGTCACTTTCTTGGTATGATCAGGATGTTCCCTTGCAACATGTTGAGACTGCCAGAATAATGAGTTGGTGGTTTCCCTCACGGCTGATTCAGAACAGCCAGCTGGACAACAGATGATTCCCTTCAGCCATGACAACATTTATTAGGCAGGTTTTTGGCTGAAAAAATGCACCAGGTTATGTCAGAGACCAAACACATCTCCAGGTTTACTGTGTCTACGGCTAGACTTCAGTGGACATGCTAGAACAGAAGCCAATAGGGCATGATTTACAACGCCTGTCAGGGTATAACATTTAAGACATTCTTTCATTTGCATTTTTTTTTAAATGAGGTTGACCCATGTGAGGGAAAGCTAGTGAAAACTCAGGGTTAGGAGAAATTGTGGCTCAGGATGAAGCAGACATAATAGTTGCAAACAGTCAGAGTATAACAACATATTCTAAAACAAATAATGATTATGTTATGATTGATTGTTTGTATATTAATTGGTTGGAAAAACAGTTAATGATTAGGTGAACAAAAAATGAAAGCCAAGACGAATGGCAATCTTTTGTACTTGCTGCAGTATACACATATAGTATGTATGTTAAAGGGAAAATATAGTGTTATTGTTTAATATTTTTTATAAATGTACTTAAAAAAATGATCTTGACTGTGCACCATTGTCTGCTCAACTGCGATACTCTTATATGTGCTGCAGACACGGCTGACAGTATTGTTGACAATTTAGTTGGAACTGCTCTTTTGGACTAATTATGTGATGACACCATTTCTAAATACCGCCAAGCATCTTTCTCTGTGTTCTGATCTGTTAAAGATTTTCACATCAGCCTGTCACGAGATAATGTTGGCCTGTGATAAGCTGAATACTTGTTTTTTATAAAAAATAAATAAAATTCCTTCAAAAGCACCGTCATCCCTACCATCCAAGAAAAGCCATCGTGGGCAAAGTGAATCAACATCTGAACACACATCCATTAGTGTGTTTCTGTTTCTGTTTGTTCCAGGTCGTATCTGGCTAGACAATGTGCACTGCACAGGTAGCGAAAAGAGTCTGGCTCATTGTGAGTCCAATGGCTTCGGAGTATCCGACTGCAAACATTCAGAAGATGTCGGCGTGGTGTGCAGTTCGAAGCGCATTCCAGGATTCAAGTTCATTCGGAACCAGGCCAACAGCCAGGAGGTAGGACCAACATATTGACAATCAAAATACATGCATATGGTACAATTGCAGTACAATTAATATGTGCATATTTGCATAAAATCTTTCACAAATGTTAAAAAAGGCTAGTGTAACTTGATTGCAGTATCACTAACACTTTGGTAGAATGCACACATGGTTAAAGCACAGACATGAAACCTGAAATGATGTTCTGCATCAGTTCAGGTTACATCAGGTTAGGCTTGGGATGAAAGAAAACCTTATCATAATTTATTGCTTCAAATGGCTCCAAGTTTCTTTTTTTTAAAGCAGCTGAACTGTTGAAAGAAGGTGTAACATAATATTAAAAAGGTTTAAGAAGCTAAAGAATATACGACGCTTACTTATTGGTGTAGCATTGTTTTTTTAAATGATTAGTAACAACTAATTACAATCTAAGAACAAATATATACGTTTTTCATTTGAATTTTAAAATAGTAACAGGTAAATCCCCATGTTTCAAACACTGTGTTATACTGTGATTATGCTAAGCAAACACCAACTTCCAAATGCCTCATTTGAAGAGTTTGGATTAAAAGGATACACTGAGGTAAGCCCTTCTGTGCAAGAAGTCACGTCTGCTATGGCATCATGCAACTGAAATGATCCATGAGTAAGCCAAGAAGTCCTTCCAGCCTGGCTGCTGAAAATGCCTCAGTACTGGATGGAAAGTCAGTGTGGGCTTGTGCATGTGACAGGAGAAAGGGAGGGAGATTATTAGAGGAAAGCATTCCTTCGGCTTGTCTGAAAGCAACTTCCTTTTAATAATGAGGTTTCCCTATTTAAGACCACACTGATAGAGATGAGTTTTATTTGGCAGTCTTTAATTAGTGCTTTACGTTCTTTGCAATTGGACGGAGTACAGTTTCTTTGTTTGCTCACACTACGTGTGGGGTGGTAGAGTTGGCTGCGTTACAGGACTCTGTACAGCAGCCAGAACAGGGACTGGATTTTTCACCGGATTTAGTTGCGATAACACGCCCGAGGATAGCATCTTAAGTCCTTCTTTGTTTTGTTAATGTCTTGTCCAGTCATGTAAGAGGGCTGAAAGTAGAAGAAGAAAGGGGAAACTGAAATGTTTAATTATGGACTGTTGAACCTTACAACAGTAACAATACTCTTATTTATATAAGTTTTATATATAAGCACAACATCTTGTTTATTGTGTGTCTTGTGTATTTAGGGCCTCTGGGGTGTTGCTTTAGTTCAGTCCCCCACCCTCTAAGTGTTTCCTTGGTTTGGCTGAAGCCTTTTAAGTCACAGGAGAGAGGAATGGGAAAAAGGTGTAGCTACACCTCTGAACTATACTTGAACTGACACCAGCAAAGAGCAGCACTGTTCCTGAAATCTGTTTATTCACAGCATGAATTGACATTCTGTGTTCAGTGTGGAAATTCTAAGTAAGGGCCAATGAAGCACGGTGTTCTTTATAACTATGTGGATGCTATGAAGAATATTTCCTTCAAAATGACGAACACTCGTCTGAAATGTGAAGAGTTTCCTAGGACATTACATCTCCTTTTATAAACACTGTTTTGGTGCCGTGCCTGCTGATTTTTAAATAATTTAAGTGAGCGTGAATCACTAGCATCACTACATCACTACATCACTAGCACTGCAAGCAATGTCTTGATTTATAAAATTAAATAGTGCATCTCTACAGTGCACAAATTTGCCACAGACATTAATAATATTGTCTCTGTGAGGAAAAAATCCTGAGATTGCGTTACACTTTATCAAAAATGTCTCTCTCTCTATCAAGTCCTGCTTTGACTACAAATAATAGTATGTGTCCTGCTGCTGGCATGGGTTGCCCAGTTAGTATTTTTGCAGTGTCAGTCAAAAACATAAAATCCTAAAAGTAGCATTTACAAAATATCAAGTAACTTTGCTGAAAAACAGCTTGACAGTCCAAACTCAGTTAACCTCAAATATTCCCAAGCTCTGATTTGTGGAAGCCGGGACCACTTTGCTGCAGTCTGCCAGTGCAACCATTCTCAGCTGGTTATGTAATGCTCCTGAAACAATAACACAACAAACATTCCACTGTGACTGAATCATTATAATATTAATTATTTTAGCATGCAGCATATAATGCACGCACACACACACAATAACTGTTTTATTGTGCATGATGGATACTTTTGCTTTTGTCTGTCTAACCCAACACAGCCAGTTTACTACTAGCATGTGTTTGTTTCACACACGGATGGAACATCCTGCAGAAGAGATCTTTCTAACAGTACAGTGGTTACAGTCAGAAGACTTTGTTTAATCTGTAGTTAGTAGTGATAATTACACAAGCTTTGCCAGGTTCAGGTTTTTATGTGGGAATGGGACAGTACAGATCGTGATGTCTCATACGAAGATAATTATAGGTTCGTGACATTGGCATAACTTTGTGCTGAACATTGGGGGGGTCAAGATGTCTGTCTAAATAAATAAATCTGGGTAAATTCCCAGATGATTAAACATGCAACTATTTTGCTGGTAATAACTGAAATGAGTAAAGAAAATCAACAGCCTATTTATGCAAGATAATTTATAATTTTATTGGAGGGGTTATATTGGTTGGGTTTAATTATTGGGGGAGTCATAACCCCCCCTAACCCCCCTGGAAATTATGCCCCTGGTTCATGGTAAGGATTCATAGGAGTCATTGCAGGATGTTCTTTACTTTGTGTTTTCCAAGAAGTTGGCACTACTTGGTACATAATCATGCAGACTTTCACTACCGAAAAGGAAAATCCAATGAAAATGTACGTAAGATGGATTTGGTTTTATATGTATCTCTTTCTAAGTAGTTTTCACATAAAGAAATCGCACACCACTGCTTGCAGAACATGATTATAAACAGATTCTACTCTATGGTCCAGCGAGCAGAGATTAACTTCTAACTTCCTGAAAAGAAGGAGTAGCTGTAGGAGCAGCTGTAGTTGACCAATAGACTATTCATCATGTTTACTTCAAACAAACACTTTCATCAAGAATCAAAACCCAGCCTTTCTAATCACAGAATGCGGCACTTAAAAACCTTCCGATCTTTTATACAAGTAACAAGGGTAGAGGTTGCACTTTCCTCCATCAGATGAGATGGGGCTGGCTCATGAGAATTTCAGTTATTCACACAGTCTGCTGTAGGACAAAAAGAAGGAAACCCGAGCCAAAGTAGGATAAGCCTATTCGGGATGATGTATAGCAGAGGCTTTTGAGGAGATGAGTGATCAACGGGAGAAAAGGTCGATGCCTGTCAGAAGGCTGAAGTCAGTCTCTCTCTTGCAGATAGAACTGTGCAAGACATCTAACACATGTTCAGCAGCTGGAGCCTCATTTCAGTTCTGGGTTGCACAGCTCCCAAGTTCTGATTTTTATTATTTATTCTTGAACTTCACGTGCACATTTCGCTGACTCATGTGAGCCTCTCGTTTGAATGTAACACAATCTAAGTGTCTGTTTTGTAAAGTTTACACAAATGAGATCGTTCTGAAACAAGCTGTGAAACAGTCGTGAAAGCGTGTTTATTCTAAGATAAACTTGCCAGCTGTAGATTTGTTAAGTGAAAACACAGAGTGAATCGGCTCTTCTGATTTGACTCTGTCAAAGATAGCAAGTAAATATGTTTTCTACTGAATGTTTTTTATTATATTAAAGCACTTTGACTGGAGTTTATTAGTATAGTTCCACAGTCAATCAAATGCTTGTGTTTCATTTCCTATATTTTATATTCAGCACAGACACCTGTAAACATGTGTGTTGGTTCTGAGATGGGGGGCGGGGGGTGTTCTTTTTTCCTATCGCAGTGGGAGAAGTGTACTCTAATAGGTATTCCAGATGCAGTGACCACTGAAACTCACTCTCTTTCTTTCCCCACACACACACACACTCGTTATAGTCAGTCAGACAGAAGGGGGGCCAATGAGGCAGAAAGTTAGGTGGGGCAGATGTAAAAGTCGTTTCAAAGAGCCGTACTGTTCCTTTGCTTTTTCAACTAAACTTTGGCTGATTAGCATTCATACTTGCTGTGTACCGTTGGGCGGGGCAGGCGGGGGATGAGTTGGGCACGTGTAGATGAACGTGCAGCAGGATCTGGAAAGCTGATTGAAGTGAAAGAAGTGCACAGTAGTGGAAGCATTAGTCACCGGCTAGACCACAGGCTCATGTCCACACATTTACATTCTGAGAGGGGACCCAGTCAGAAAAACAGTCTGCTCCCCAGCTGGAAATAGTTCAGTAATGGACAGAGCTCACTTCACAGACTAGCACCGAATAGATCTGAAGGAAGGATGTTCACTTTTTTCAGTTGTTACTTACAAGCCAAAAAACCCCTATATGAATTATTATTTTTGGATTTTAAAAAAAGCTGTAGAATGAGTAAATCATTACAGGAAGTTGGGAAATGAGATGAGGTAACCTTGTAGAAATGCTCATATTAACCTCAATGTAATCGGTAGGAGGAAAAGCTTTCACCCAGTACCTATTTGGACTGGTCTGTTTGTCACGTCACACTGATTCAGATAAAATCAAAATATAAATCCTACTGAGCACTTCAGGAATATGTTGACACTTTAGGAAATATACTTATTTCTTTTCTTCGTTGTTGTTGTTTCCTGTTTTTCTTTGACTTTCTGGAAAGAATTACATAAAGTTTACTCAAAAGTGAAAAGTTTGAGACAGCTAGTGGAAATAAACAAAATCATCTACAGTTCTTTAAAAAAAATTGCCAGTCTCTGAAGCACATCGTGTTCTTAGTTAGATACAAACCATGCTCTTAAACAGATCCAAAACTGGCTGTAGGCTTTGAACTGACTCATATTTACCACACCAGTGGTATTGATCTTCTCACTTATTAAAGTATTTCCCTCTGTATATTTTAGGGATTCTGTATTTTCTTCTGTTGTAATGGGATAATGCATTTTTGTAGCTGTGTAACTCATAACAGTTTGTCTTATTCCAACACAGGTGCTGAAATTTATTTATTTATTTCTGGCTCTCTTTGAAAAAGTGCTCAAATGTGGCCAGTGTATCGAGTTGGGCCTGTATCTGTCCTTTTCTCTTCAGCTCACACTTTCAGAAGGCCAGTTTCCTGCCTCCGAGCCAAATGCAACAATGGTCAGATGTGTCTTAATAACATCATATCTCAGTGATTTTTCTTACTATTTATTTATTTGGCTATTTATTTATTGAACTTGGTCTTTTTTGTTTTTGTTGTGGCACGTTCTTTTATTTTCTTTGTTTATTATGAATTAAAAAACAATCTAAAATCCTAAAAAGACTATGATTACATTTTAATTGGAGAGAGACAGCTGCGTGATCATAGTCATGTCTCCTCACCTTCCCCTGCTAGACACGGAAAACACTCTGTCATGCTATGGCCAGCAGGAATCTTCTCATGAAAGAGTGGTTTTTACCCACTCTAACCACTGCGGTCAGAGGGAGGACCAGGGTCACTGCTGAAGCAGTGTTAGTGGAGGCTCCTCCTTCCCTGCAAGACCCTGAAGCCTTGAACATTCCCTGAGGCTGACGCCATCTCAGGAAACCACCCTGTGGGCAAACATTTGATATTCTGGGAGACATGCCTGAATGTTGGGGTTTTTCAATGTTGAAGAAACTGGCTGTTATAAAATTACTGAGTTCAGCATACCACAGAGCAGCTCAGAGTTTTGGCTCTTTTTGGCACCCTCAGTGCAACTTCGCACTCAGTCAGGAACAAACGGCAGCACTTGGCTCATGGAGAGAAATGAAGGAAGGCAGAGTTATTAGGTAGCTGCTAAAGCCCTTAGGTCAAAGGGTACCATTCTTTGCTGTATTGGCACACATGATGCTAATTGTGAGCACCGGTGGCCTGCGCTCTGACCGGCATTTACAGCCCTCAGTAGATAGCTTTGGGCTATTCTGCACATTCTCCAACCTCACTTTTTGCTCGCCCTATCTTCTGTCTTTAGCCTTAACTTGCTTAAAATTGAATTTTACAAAATGTCATGGATTGCATGGATTTTAAACTTTTTGTTTCACTGCTTCCCATTTTCTGATACTTCTGCAGTCATACTTGCTTTGTATCGCACGCAAGTATGTTCATATCTTATGAGATATGAGATGTGAGGTCTTTTAAAAATACATGTGACCTACATTCCTTCCAGATTTGGCCAAAGGGAAAAGACTTGTATGTATCTCTTTGTGCTCTGCCTGTTTCATCTTTGCTTCTGACAGAGAATAGTGACATTGATAAAAGACCCAGCAGCTTGTCACGTATGAACTATTCCCTTTCAGCGCTTTTTCTGAGGAAATCCAAACACTGTTTGCCAGTTTTGACAAAACTATGAATTGAAGTGTGTGCCTCACACAAGTCATTCTGTTGACAGACAGTGATCTCAGAGCCTTGTGATGTTTTGAATAACTGCTAATACCTGATGCATTTCTCCTGTCAAGGGGGGACTTGACTCCACTTCTAGACCCATAAGCAGACAGAGTTAAAGCCATCTGTTGGTCTGAGTTTAACTTAGACCTTAACATTATGGTGCATTTGCAGAGACACTAGTTTTTCTCCTCATTGTCTGTGTGTCAGTGAAACAGAATTCACTCTTGATGGTGGGGTGGTGAAGAGGCTTATGCAAAAATATCATTATGCAAGTTGATGGGAACTTTATATAATAAATAGAAAATATAAGCTAAGCTTGCCAATATGTGCGAATCCAAGTCTGGGCAATTAATGTTCCCAAGGGGCCACAATTAGAGCCTAATTGTTACATCTACTCTTTCTTGTTTTGTTTTGTTTTTTGTTTGTTTTTTGTGGCCTATTGGGAAAAGTAATTGCTCACCCCTATCCATCTACAACAGACCACAGCCATCTGTTACAAATTTATTAGAAATTCTGGAAAACTTGCAATATTCAATTAAATAAAAAGTCATACTGTAGTCAGAGGTCATTTTTTTCCATTGGACTAAAAGTATAATACTCTGTGTTTTTACATGTGTTATATACAGGAGAGCATGAAACATTATCTCTGTTCTGTTTGTCAGGGCTTGACGGTACAGGTGGAAGAGGTGAGAATCAGGGCCACATATTCTCACAGAAAAAGGATTCCCATTACTGAGGGATTTCTGGAGGTAAAAGACGGAGGCAAGTGGAGGCAGATCTGCAATGAGGATTGGAACCAGATGAATAGCAGGGTCATCTGTGGCATGCAGGGCTTCCCTGGGGAGAAACGCTTCAATACCAGACCCTACAAGTGAGTAATGTTGCTGGGGTCAGCATTAGGGTTTAAACAATTTCAACTAGATGTAATGAAAAAACTAGACTTGAGTTAAACATTTAACATTTAGTCTGGCTAAATACAGCGCAGGTTATTGCGGCGCTACATATGAATCCTTTCAATTTCACACTGGTGTAAAACATCAAACCAGACATTCTTATAGGCTGAACAATCCATTTATAAACTATATCATATTATTTTCTGGCAGGAAACATAAAACTTTATTACTGCCTAGTTTACTTAAGAATGTTTAGCCTGATGTTATGAAACGTTACATAATAACCAGGTTTGTTTACTGTGGCCGTCACTCACGCCTTCATCCATTTTGTACCAGAGTAAACACACTCGGGCCTGTAGATTCCTGACAAGAAGCCAAACACCACCAGAGGAAGCTTTGGCATATGCAGGATGAGTGCAGTACATTATGAAACAGTGGCTCTTCTGGCTCTATCTTTTCCGCCTCCGTGGTTTTATCACAAAGCTTTTCAAGTGTCACAGGCAACATGCAGTCTGACACAACGGAATACAGATGTTTTGTAGCTGCTGCACATGAGAAAGCAATCACAAGAGCAAATCTCTCTCCCAGTCTGTGTGCTGGCATCTAAAGCCAAAAAATCTGTGAAATCGAGACCTGAAAGACACAAGAATATATTTACAAGTACTGCCGAGCAGGTCTGCAATTGGATTTTCTCATTGATGTTTCTGGGTAAGGATATCAATGATCTGGTAAGATCAAAGCAAAGAAGGTGGCGTTCATTCAAAGAAAATCATGATCATTTAATTTGATAGTAATGCATTTCAACCAAAGGAAATATATGGAAAATGAAACCAGCGTTTAACTTTATTACTTGAGATGATAAAGCTGATGTGGTTGTAAAACATGTGATTCTGCTGTGGTTTCACATGATTCACTCTCTCAATCTAAATTTGGCATCACTTTAAAAGGCTGTGTATTGCCCTCATGTTCATACCAACTTGAATTTAAATTTAAGCTTCTAAACAAGGTTTAAGGACTAAAAGGTTGTAAATAAAGCTCCTGCTGGTTTCACTACATGGTATGCTGCTTCAGGGTCCACTCTTGTTGGCTTCTTCAGTGACCCCTAGTTGATTACCTCCATTCAAGTTTGGGGTCATAGGAATGTTAAGGTATTTTCACAATACTCCCATTGTGCTTCACAGCAAAAAGGAGAAGACTGCTGAATTCCTCTCACTAAAAAATAAAAATGTCCATTCCCCAAAACAGCTGCTTATGATTTTAGTAATGTGTAAGAAAGAATGGTGAAATCTTTTATTTGTCTTTTAATATGAAAGAAGTGATGTGTGACTGTATAGTTCTCCCAATCCAACTTTAAGCTTTTAAGCAGTATGACAGAACACAGCAATAGTAGTGAATATAAATATAAATATTGACTATAATTATCCCATAGTCTGGGGTCTACTAAAGGCAGGGAGTGGACCTGTAATGAAGGACTTGGCAAACAGAGGTTTGAACTGAAAAACAAAAGCAGAACGACACCGGAACGTGGAACAAACAAGCAGACTAACTACAAACTGAACAGAAGCTAAACTAACAAACAGACAAAAGTAACACCCACAATAAGGGAGAACACGACAACGAGCAGAGGGCGATGCAGACAGCGAATACACGGGAGGGTGATTACAGGAGTGGAGACAAATGGGAACACAGCTCAACAAAAGCAAAACTAACGAGACAGGAGAAGCTGAACCAAACATCAAACACACGAGACAAGAGATTATCAAAGCAAAGCAGCAAGTAACACTCGCACACAGACTCAGACTAAGACACGTGAACTTGACACTGGAACGGATATTAAGGAGATATGACGGACTGGGAAGACCAAGGATGAAACACAGAGAAAAACATGGGAACATGACTGGAAATTGGAGGTAAACAAATACTGGGGAAAAGAGGACAGGGCACAGAGATGAGACAGTGACGACTGGACATGTAGGAGAACAAACAACAAACCGTAAATTAAGAACTATAAACAACAAAGTCAGATGCACTAAAAGAATACAACAATCAAAGAGTCCAGAGCAACCTCAAAAGCGGAGTCCAAGACCCAGGACCATAACAATAATGACGTTCCTTTCCCTGGAAAGTTACAAATCTGTTATTTTTGGCATCAACTAATACCAGTGGTTGGAAAAATGTTGGCATGTGTCATTCTTCAACCAAAGAGAGGAATAAATATGAAGTGTTTTCTAAGACGGTTCGTAAATCATGCAAAATTACCCAAAATTTGACATTATATGTTGTAATAGTTTGTTTTACTTTATGATTCTTTCTCAGATTGCTGGCCAGCCGTCGAAAGAAGAACTACTGGGGCTTCTCTATCAACTGCACAGGCAACGAGGCTGACCTTTCTGATTGTAAACTGGGCCGAGAGATAGAGAAGAAAGGCAACAGCACCTGTGGAAAGGGCATGCCTGTAGTGGTCAGCTGTGTGCCTGGACGGGTCTTTGCTCCTAGCGTCAGCATCGGGTTCAGAAAAGCCTACAGGGTGGAGGTTAGTCAGATTAAACACACTATACAAAGTCTTCGTTTCAAAAGTCAACATTCATTCTTGATGTGTGTATGGTGCATATTACATTACTTGCTTTTTTAACAAGGTACAAAAATTGGCCTTGGTTGGATTGTAAAAGGAAAGACATCTTTATACTGATCTACATTCATGACACTGTCTATTATAAACTCTACAAAGAGAAAAGATTTGTCTGTGGGACATCATGTGGCATAAAAAAGGGTAGTGTTTAGTTGGTTTTCTTAGACTAAGTAGTAGTACATGGAGTATTTCTTATATACACGTCACCACATAACTACCATACATAATTAAATAACTACACCATGACTACACCTCGTTATGGACATGAATGTCTTGGCTATTAATGTTAGCTTGTTTTGTCCAATCCAAAACGAGTTTTGATGTGTGTTTGGGCTCATTGTCCTGTTGGAGAGCCCACTTTTTTTAGCCATCTAGCTGTTGTTGGAGGTAGTCTAATACATTCCCAGAGAGATGAGGCTACCACCACCATGCTTTGTAGATGGTACAGTGTTCTTAGGTTTGAAAGCCTAACCTTTAATCACATCAGCTTCATATTTTTTGAAGGTTAATCGCTTCTGGAAGACTTCCTTGCAGGACAAAAATCATAAACTTTACTTAGGTTTTGTTTATGTTGTCACATGTCTCTGTCTGTAGTTGAAATTTGTCATAATGCAAATGTTTGTATTTCTTCTAGATTAGCCACAGTTACTCACTTATCTTAAAAGAGAGACATGAAAGCTCAATTTAGAGTCTGTTTGCTTTACAAATAGATCATACTGCTGCATGTTTACACTGCATTATAAGACGCACAAACATTTCTTGTTTGTCTACATAGTTCAGTATTCACATAGAAGTCCAGTAATGGATTACAACATTTACTGGGTACTGGTATTAATAGCCAATCAACCATCGTGTTGCTTCACTGGGTGCTGAGATCATTAAGAAGGTCTAGTTTTGTAAACTTTTCAGGCTCACTCTTAGTGTTTTCAAGCTAAAAAAATAAATATATGAATTCATCCAATCATTCATTAAACTGTTTTAGTTTTCTTCCAAAATGTAATAACAATTATAATCCTTAAGGTCATTCTCTGTAAGATATCCACTAATTTTAGCTTTTTTATTGTACTGTTTCCATAGCAACCCCTAGTACGTCTAAGGGGTGGTGCCATGATAGGTGAGGGGCGAGTGGAAGTCCTGAAGAATGGAGAGTGGGGAACAGTGTGTGACGACAACTGGAACATTCGCACTGCCACCGTGGTGTGTCGAGAGCTGGGGTTCGGCAGCGCCAAAGAGGCCCTGACTGGCGCCCGAATGGGACAAGGTACTCACAGATTTGTCACTAGCATATTATTGATGCATATAGTGGTACACAACTATAGTTGTAGGTATAGAATACTTTTCTTTTTTAATGGTATTACTCAGCAAGAGCCCAAATACAGCCTGACCAGACCTCATTCCCAGCTGTGAAAATGAAAGGTGTGGGACTCGGGACTGGAGACCTTCCACCTTAAATCTGATCAGTCTGTTTTTTTTCTCACCTCAGTCAGTCTAGACCTTAAGTCAGCACATCAAGGCATTAGGGAATGTATCGAGCAGCACATTCATGTTTATACATTGACCCAAGACCTGATTCTGTGAAATGAAATATACCACAGCCTTATGAGAATCACATGTTCACTGGAACAGTTGCCTTTTTCTCTGCCTGATTCTCATAGCAAAACAGAAACGTGCACAAAATGTTCCAGTACAGAGAACAGCTTTTATGGGTTACAGAAAAGGAATTCTTTGTTGGAGAAAATACGAGGTTATGTGAGGGATCGTTTTTTTTCTTTCGTTTTTTTATGAGCTGACCACTGGATCCAAAGATGGCACCACACACTCTTGAAATACCTTGTTGTGTTTGTTTTCAGAAGTCAACAAAGTGGACTAAACAAGCATGTTGGTAGATTTCCGGATTTGTTCTACTCTATTGAGGGAAGTGGATGAAAAGAAGAATTTCTGGATGCCATATTTACTTTTTTCAGCTGGTAGAGGATTTCGCTCTTTGTGTAGCAGTTTTGTGTTATGCATTGATGGGCTTAATAATTTCTAAATGTATCCTATTTTGTAATTTTTTAAATGCATGTTATTATAAAATAGATTTCACGGATTATAGTCATTTGTCAAACCTTAATATTGGCTGCATGGTTACAATGGCACTGTGTTCCTGCTGTTCCACTAAATTATACCTCTCTATTGGCTCCCTGTCACTATTTTGCAAGCTTATATCACATTCCTGCTCAATCTCACGGGAAGAGTAGCAGCATAAAGTTAGCACTCACATGTTATTGTGGAAACTGCGCCACATGGAGAGAGAATTTGTTTTTTTTACAGGCCTTACGTGTCTCATTTTCATTTGACATAGGCGACTGCTTGTTTCCTTTGCAGTATCTAAGTACATATCTTTGGACAGACAAAACACTCTGGTAGGTAAGACAGCTGCTGTTTTAGTCTGTAGTAGTTGGCAGTAAAAGCTTGTGTTTCCTGCGGCTCTAGTTCCCAAAAAGTTATGATGCCGTTTAAAGCAGAATGCAATTCGAACCATAGATTTAAACTGAAGAAGTGCAAAGAAAACATGTCAACTGTTTCACTTGAGAAATTTATTGCTTTATTAAAAAAAAATTATTATTTTAAATTAGCAGAAAAATGTAAATAAAAAAAAACAGAATAGAGGCATGTTTATCGCTGTGTTGCATCACAGGTTTGAACAAGTTCAGGCCTCCTTTATCGTTTCCATCAGGTTACATGTCTAAACTGAAATTTAGCACCTGGACTCTTTCTGTAGGGACATGTAATAATACATCTTCATTGTCTTGCTAAAATATTGAAGAACTTCTCTGAAAAAGATGCGAATGTCAGCAAACATTGCTCCATAATCTTTAAGTGTTGTTTAGTATTAATGGAGCCTTCACAGTAAGTGCAGTAAGGTGTCACAAGACCATTACAGATGGTGGCCTTTCCTTTTTCAGTTGTTTTTAGTTTGCCCACAGGACAGTTTTCCACTTGATCTCAGTCCATTTTAAATGAGCTTGGACTCAGACAAAGCAAATGCGATTCTGAATCTTTTTCAAGTTCTTTCCTTGCCTGGTAGAATTTAAACTTGCATTTGAAGTGCCATCTAAACACTGGATTTGCTCACGTTGTCTTTCGGAAATTCCAAATTCCCACTATAAAACTGGGTCTGTTTTTAATGTTAATGGTCCAAAGAACACAGACATTTAATATTGGTTTTTGGCCTTGCCCCATACAAACAGACATCTCCCCAGAGTGCTTTTTAATGATACTAAGTCCTGCGGTCTTTCACAGACTTATTTTAGTCATGTTGCTAATTAACATCATTAGTCGTGATTTCCCAAGAGTTGTTTTGTTTCTTTGTCTGTTTTGTTTTACATTGCACAGCATGTCACTAAAAGGTTGGGACAGGTACAACAAAAACTAAATATTTTCCTGGAATCCATTTCAATACAAAATTATATTTTTCAAAATACGATCAAAATCCAATAATCTACTATTTTCAGTAAATTCATCCAAACATTTTTGGAAACAGGGTTGTAAAAACCATTGTGTGACCCAAATTGATCACGTCTTCTGTCCAGTAATCTGAAACTAGCTTTTCTCCTCTGTAATGTACACAATATGAATACCTCAGCAGGGAGTTTATGACAGCAGTACTCTTTGTTAATGTGCCTAATGTGTACCTGTAGGCATTGGACCGGTCCACATGAACGAGGTGGAGTGCTACGGTTTCGAAAAGTCTCTGACCGAGTGCTACTTCAACCCTAACTCTTTGGGCTGCAGCCATGAGGAAGATGCAGCAGTCAAATGTAATGTTCCTGCCATGGGCTTCCACAATAGAGTGAGTAAACTCTGTCTGCCATATAGAACAAAAAACTGTGTGTGTGTAACAGTTCAGGAGATGCCTAAATGTATATATCCCTTCCCTCAGCTTCGGTTAAGTGGCGGCCGTAACCCATATGAGGGCCGTGTGGAGGTCCTGGGGGAGAGAAATGGCTCTTTGGTGTGGGGCACGGTGTGCAGTGACAGCTGGGGGACTATGGAGGCCATGGTAGTGTGCAGACAGCTGGGCTTGGGCTTTGCCAGCAATGCTTTTCAGGTAAGGTTTTCCTTTAAGCCCTCTTACATCCAATAGTTTTTAAAATGAGCTTATCTTTGCAGCACAGACTTTCAGCATGCTCAAAGTCAGTGAATACCATTAACTCTCACTTTAATAAGCTTGAGCTTTATTGATCCCTGAGGGCAAAAGAAAGACATCACTTCCTTACAAACATCAAATGCACACAGTGAGCACAGGAGGGCAGGGAAGCGGTGAGAAGGAGCTTGATTTATTTTGTTTGAAGTTTAGTGGACGCTCCACCAGTAAAGCCCCTGGCATTACTTCCTAGCGTTACTCTTGTCCTGCTTACGTTTCCTTCCTGATTTTTAAAGAAGACCCCAAACTCCCTTTACAATATGATGTGAGAGATGTGTTAAGACCTCTCTTAGGTTTTTTATTTTTCTGTTTAAAAGCATTTTGCATTTGTGGTTTAAAATCTTCTGGAAAGTATGTGTGTGAATCATGGGGAGGTGCATTTATAGCAGCAGGGGGGCTATCTGACTAAAGTGTGCCTATCTATGCCAAGTCATCTAGTCCAGTCCAGGCATTATAATAACATGTCCCCTTTATTACCGAAAGCTGTAAGTTATCATTACGTAAGGGTTATCGTGTTAAGAGTAATAGATGACTAACTCTTTGCTATCACAGAGCAGGACCTCTGGCCCTCTAGAGCCTCTTTCCTGTCTGACTTTTAACTGCTTCTCCAGGCAAACCCCACCACCAGATGGAAAGAATGACACTGAGCTTACAGCTATACAGCTTTATGTCTGTCCTTCTCCTCAGCCCACCAGCAAATACTCCCACATCCATATCCCTCAGCTTAATTTACTTCTCATGACTTCTCCACTTCCTGGGTAGATGATGGAAAGTATGAGTTTTCCTAACAGAAGGTTTTCCCTGTGGTCTGCAAAATGTTGTAATAAGGCTGAGTCAGGCGTGAGAGGATAAGAGAGCATCTCTCCCTGTGTGGGTACTAGATACTTTGATTAGACTACATTTGGCTTGTGGGACACCTGGTATGGCAAGTCTGAAAATTAAATACAGGAGGACAAATAAGATTATGTTGTTTCCACAACACTTTGAGGAGGCTGATCTGTTTGATTGCAGCTAACAGAAAGAAGTGAGCCTAGCTGTATATGCATAGCTTAGCAGCAGTAAGTTTTGTATAGATTAAACAAACATACAGGACTGTAGTAGATATGTTGCTGGAGAGTTTTGTTATAGCCAAGCTCTGTTTTTGAACTTTTTAACAGTAACACAGGGGTATCAAGCTTTGCATCAGTCTTGATGCTGTGTAGTGTATAATGTGTTTCCTGTGCTTCTCTTATAACAGGAAACATGGTACTGGCAAGGAGACTCATCAGCTGATGCTGTGGTGATGAGCGGGGTGAGGTGTTCAGGAACTGAGCTGACTCTGGAGCAGTGCCTGCATCACGGGAAACATGTTGTCTGTCCCAAAGGAGGTGGACGCTTTGCTGCTGGGGTCTCTTGTACAATGAGTAAGAAATTGCAGAAAACCATAACATATATATTTAGAACCTTACATGGGTTAGAAGCTATGTTTCTAAAGTATTTATTGTGGAAATTGAAAAATAGTTTGAGGACATTGGTATAATACATGCTGACTGAGGGTTGTGACTGGGTCACTTAAAAAGAATGAAACACTTGTAGTTTTGTAGCTGTTCAATATAAATGTAATAAAAGTTTCAGTGTAAGTTTCTGTGCACCTTCATGCTCTAAATCAGCACGATTCCTTGTTGCTCGCAGCGGCCCCTGACTTGGTCCTGAACGCTCAGGTTGTGGAGCAGACCACATATCTGGAGGACAGACCCATGTATGCTCTGCAGTGTGCCCATGAAGAGCGTTGTCTGTCCGGCAGTGCTGACAAAGCTGACCCTAGTTCCTACCGCCGCCTTCTTCGCTTCTCCTCCCAGATCCACAACAATGGCCAGTCAGACTTCAGACCGCGGGCATCACCTCAGTCGTGGGTCTGGCACGACTGTCACAGGTGACGCATCTGGAACAGATATGTGCAAACGGAAAACTTTTTGCTTTTTCCTGTAAAAATTCAGAGGAAGCCAAACTTATCTGACAGGAAAGCTACTAGATAAAAGTGTAAAGGTTACAAACATTTATATTAGTGTGAAATGATTTTTTTTTTTTTTTTTATAATCAAGGCATTACCACAGTATGGAAGTTTTCACCCACTATGACTTGATGAGTCTGAACGGCACTAAAGTGGCAGAGGGCCACAAGGCCAGCTTCTGTCTTGAAGACACCTATTGTGATGAGGGTAAATACAGACACTCCTTATATTAGCAAATTATACATTCAAATACAATAATATTAGTAATCTATTGTATGTTTTTTAATTAATGAAAGAAATGAGCTTACTGGGCTGTATAAGCGTGACCTCATCACAAAATTTGTAACCTTTTCCTATTCCAGGAATTCAAAAGAGGTACGAGTGTGCAAATTTCGGTGCACAGGGCATCACGGTTGGCTGCTGGGATACCTACAGGCATGACATTGACTGCCAGTGGATCGACATCACAGACGTGAAGCCCGGCGACTACATCTTGCAGGTAAAACGTCTGCTGTGGTTGTCTGGTTGTAGTCCACACGGCACATCTGCTGCTGGAAAAATGTCTCATCTCCAGCCAGCAGAGTCTGCTAGATCAAACAGGCACGAACAGTTTCCACAGCTCTGCATCTGCCTGTTTCTGGCTGTAAGCCCAAGAAGCCTCTGATTGCGGTTCTAAACCAAATGAGCAGGAGTTGGTTAAAGTCAAACTTTTATATTAGAACAAATTTAGTCCAGCATAGATTTATAGTATCTAAGATGAAGGATGAACTCTTTCAGTCTCTTTTGTGCATTATCAGTCATTCTATTATCATCTTATTCTATTGCTGGTCTTTACACTTGTGTTATTTGGTTCTCATATAAACTAATTAAAGACTTGAAATGTGTCAAGAGAAATGCTTTAACAACCATTGTTTTTCCTTCTTCCAGGTTGTAATTAACCCAAACTATGAGGTCGCGGAATCAGATTACACTAACAACATAATGAAGTGCCGCTCCCGATACGATGGGCATCGGATGTGGACATATAACTGTCGTACAGGTAAAAGGGATCTTTTTACCCTCTGCATTAAAGACAAAATATTCTTCAGTAAAAAAAAAAAAATAGTGGTGCTTGGGACTGTACTTTAGAAAGGTCTACATTTAAACAAACTCAGTTTAATACTGAGGTTTTCAGCCGCAAAGAGTCTGCACCTGAATAGTCTGAGCGTTAAATGCTAACTCCCCTTCTCCTAACCTTATTTGACCATTTATAAAAATAACTGTTCTACTGTATCTGTGTGATGTTTAAGTGCCCAGTTCACAGCAGCCATAGTCAGCAGTTTTAACTTTGGGATCGTGCAGGACAGGTCTACATAATAAAAACTTTTCTTATGTCATATAAAATATGACATTAAACTTGTAGTTTTCCTGTTTTCACAGAATTGTGCAGAATCGTCTTTAGCACCGAAACGACTCAATAGATTTAGATTTAATTGACTCACAGGCACAGAGGATGATTTCAGAGGAAGCCTCCTTTTTATGTAGAACTTTTACTAAATACAAACTTTTACAGTTTCTCAATGACATTTTGATATTTTACAAACAGGAGATGTTTGATGAGACATCAGTGACAAAAATGGCATTAAAACAAGCCAACATAACATTAGAGGAACAGGTAACACTGAACGTTTCAAAGCTCCTTACCAAAGCTTCCTGTAATGTGAAGAACTTTATACTTTAAGTATTTGTGTGTTAATTACACAGGTAATAATCTATTATTATACAACTTTAAAAAAAAAGTGTTTTTTAAAACAGAAACGGAAACTTAAAATCTTAGAATTAAAAAAAACAAATAGTGTTTTATCTTATTTATGAAATCTGTTTGTTAGTGGATCTGCATTACTCTTATACACAATGTACTTCTCTGACCAAATCCTGAGATACTTCAAATGAAGTTAAAAAGGAATGAATACTTCTGTAGAATTACACAACCAATTCATCACCTGCATCAGCAGGGTGAGAACAGGGGGAAAAAAAACACATACATCCATCCATGGATCCTTCCAATTAATCTGAAACAAAAAACAAAACAAAAAACTGCCTGGAAATCAAGCACCCTTGAAAGAAATTTCAGGTTCTGAGTCAGCATGCAATAAAATCAAAATAAGCCTCCCATCTGAAATCACTATGATAATTGCATTATTAGTCAGGCTAACAGTGAAAAAGAGGCACCACCGCAGTAATGTACAAAGGTCAGAGGTCAGCTTCAAATACAGCACAGCAGCTCCTGCTCAAAGATCATTCAGGATGGATGATGATGGCGGCATGGGCATTAAACTCTCAGGCCTCTTCTTAACTGTGCCTGCTGTGCTGATCAGTCAGGGTGAGCAGTCATCACTCAGCATGGTCACTGATTCAAACATGGCCACTTTTGAGTCTCTTCAGAGAAAGGAAAGGAAGTGAAAGGAGGGCAGACCTCTGCTGGACCTTTTTGTAGAAAACAAAAGGACAAAGTCTGCCTTTAGACAAAGGTTTTACTAATTTAGTGTAAAAAAAAAATATCACAAACTGGATTTTTTTTTTATAGCTGTGCTATCACTTTATCATCACATTACATCACCGTTCATGAACAAATGGTGCACTTTTATCCATTTTAAAGCAATTGTTACTGTCTTTAATTAACATTCATCTGTTTACCCGGGAGCTTTATAAAGGGTTTAATAAGGAGATCTTTAACTAGAACATTTGGCTTTTGTTGCTAATCTCTTCACTGTCCTCTTCCTGTCTGACTTAACAGGTGGCACACTGAGTTCAGAAACGGAGGAAACGTTTCCTGGATTGCTTACCAACCAGCTTTCTCACAGGTAGACCTGAGAAGGACAGGTCAGCATTGGTGGATGGGGGGGTGCAGACTAATATTTGACAACCACTAGAGGGGGGCCTGGGCAGATGTGCTTCCTTGGAGCAGTGCTGGATTGTTGTGAGCTCTGGGCTCATCTGGTACAATAAACAATGACTCAATGGGAAAATGAAATGCTTGCTTACTAAACCATTAACTGCATTCAGATGTTCAAAAAGTGTTAGTACAGTGTAGATTTGATCTGATGTTTATTTACCAGGAGAGATGCCATGAGGATTGTAGCCAGGTAACTCGTTAAATAACCCATGCCAACGAGGGCCGCCTGCGTAAAAGTTTCCAGTGTTTGGGAGAACATTTTAAACCAAAGAAAAATCACGACATGAGAGACCACGACTCTTGGACTGAGCTCTGTTTGAACGGGTGAAAATAGTGTTGTGCTTAATCTGGTGCTACAGCCTGTACTGTTGCCTCGCAGCTGAACCGAGAGACATTTGCCTCAACAGTAAATAGTTAAAGGAATTACTGACTCAAAACTGTGAGCAGTTTTAATAATAATACATTACATGACTATGATTATCTCTGCAGAGCAATGTGCTACAATCTGTGGATACAGCATGTCTGATAAGTAACTCCTGCTCTCAGAGGGATTCATTATAACAAACTGAAAACAGGATTCATTTTAAAATTTCTATTAGAGCCTCCGTGCACTTAATGTACCAACATCTTGCAAAGAGCCTTTCACATACTTGACACATACATTTCTGAAAATATTTTTAATTTATTCACACCACACACACATTTTCATCTTCTTGTTCTGCACATCCTCTCCCTTTCTTTATCGGTGTCTGAGTTGTGTTAAATTATTACCATCAGGGAATTTGATTACATTGTGGAAGTGCTGTAACAACCACACATGTATGTGAAAATGCCTCTTCGTGGTTTTGTACATTTTGTTTTTCTAAATGTGGCAATTCAAGGATACTTGTTGGTTGCTGTCTGTTTTTATTTTGTATGCATGGATGAATGTGGGAAAGCATTATGTTTTCAATAAAATGAAATGCTTGACAAGTAACAAGTGCTTCTGTGTCATAAAAATATTTCCAACATGTGAGCTGCGGGAACCTAAAACCTAACCTGTCGCTGTTATTAGCGCGCTCACCTGTAGTGGATGTTGGCACTCTTCAATATCGCTGCACTCTGCCTCGCCCCTGAATGCCCAAGGCTCTGGTTACCATCCGCCTAGCAACAGCACAGTCTGTCCTCGGACGTTCCTTCACTGGCTGGATGAACTCTGGAAGGAGGCACATAAACAACCATATTGTTAAAAAAACCAAAAACGCCATATTATACATTATATATCGCTGCTATGGATCTCCCACCTGCTCGTCTGATGGCCTTGCCTTGAGCTTTTTTACTCCCATCAGCCAGTGCTCGCGCCTTTAGCAGTGGGTGGCAGATAGAGAGAGCATGGAGTGCTGTAAGAAGACACATTTCTTTTTTTATTCACATCATAAGCTTTAAACCTCAAACCCAACATCTCATTCATCGTGCAGTGAAAGCGCTCACCTGCTGACTCGCTGGAAAAAATCCCTAAAGCGTGTGTGTTGTCCACCCACTTGATCTTCATTCCACCATCACTGAGGCAGACAGAGAGCACTTTAAGCAATTTTGTGGCCACATCAGTCGGTTGAGGGTGAGATATTTTCTGGATTTACATCAGACGGTTTCAATGAAAACTGAGATAGCTAAAGTAATATATACCTGTGTAATTGTACCATATTATGGTTCAGTTTTTAGTGACATTTTTAGAATATATACATTCATGTACGTTTCATATTAAAGGTGACAGTTGAAAGCATTGACAGATTTGTTGTGTACAATGAATTATATATGGTTATATATGGTTTCACAGCAGAACACTCTAGACAAAGGGTGTCAAACATAAGGTCTGGGGGCCAGGATCAGCCAATCTGGCCTAGCAATCTTGGACAGCTTTGGAAAATGGGAAGAAGGATGTAAATTTTAGACATTTAACTGTGTTTTCACATGTTTTATAGCTTTTCCCACTGATAAAGACCTCATGCATGACCATTCATACTACACCAAAGTAAATAACTAATAGACAAACCATGGAATAACAGAAATTTCCAGTTTTTTTCACTATCAACTGTGGAAATTTATGGGTTTTATAGCAGGTTCAAAGGGTTTTTGTTTTGTTTTTTTTAAAAAGAGGACATTCTGTAACAAAAATGATCATTTTCATTTCATTTCATTTGAATTAAAAGGCCGTCTGCACACCTAACAGAACTTTTTCTGTAACATTCATACGTATTTATTTCTTACACTTTTTGCCCAAAGCAGCATTTCTTTATCATGCAGAAAAACTGAGTTGTGTTGTTGAAATTATATTTCTTTTTCTTTTTTTTAATATTAAAATATCTGAGGGATTAAATGTGTCATTAAACTCCTTTACACTATCACAAAGAGAACTTTCACTCGTACGTGGGCCACATTGTAAAATAAAATATGACTGGAAACAAAGGGACAGAGCAGTGAACAGGTGTGTCATCTCTCACCTGTACTCTGAGAAAGCATCAAGAAGGTCGTCGGTCTTGAACATAACCGGGAAGTCATAGATCTCAATCACGTGGCGAAAGTCGTCTGAGTCGATGGAAACATTCTCATACATAGAGTAGTCATTGTGGACGTGCTCAATGGCAACAGAGACTCCTTCTTTTAGATGTGCCTTGATCTAAAATAAGAAACACATATATGTAATGTTACCATTATATTTAAGTTTCTGAAATGCACAGATTAATCCAAAAGGCAGCAAGTACAGCAACACTAAAAGACTGTATGCATACATCCACACCATGAAATTAAGTCTGTGAGAACTGACCTCTGCAGTTACACCATCTTTGTCTGTGCTTGCGTCTTCTGTCTGGAGACTGCGTGACACACTTGCAGTCTCGTCCTTCTCCTTCTCATCCTCCTCCACAGTCAGTTCAGCAAACTGGGACTGAGTCTGTTCCAAGACTGAAGCTTCATCTTCATCCAGCCTGAGCACCAGCTTTTCTTCTTCCTGAGGACACATTGCTGAACTGTCTGCAGACAGTTTAGGGACTCTGTCTGCTACACTGGGGAATGATTCCTGTTTAGATAGTGAGTGCTTTGTGTTTTCTATAGATTCAGGACAAGTACAAGAGTCAGACAAACTGTTGACAGAGCTTCTATCAACACAAGCTGAACTCAATGACTCAGAGCCAGCTGTGGAGCCTTGTGAGTTTCGTAACGACAGCCTCTCTCGAGCGGCTCGTGGCATGTAGAGGGGCTTGTCGGGCCTCTTAGGTGCTCGGCTTCGTGGTGGGATTGAAGGTTTAGGCTTGATATTGCGTTCCCTCTCTTCCCTAATACTTAGGGGCTCTTCACACAAGCTGCTGTTGCACTCCAAGTCGCTGTCTTCCTCTACCTCACTCCTACAGAAACATTTTTTCTTAAAGTTAATAAACGTCTTTTTCAAAGATGCATAAGACATACAGACCAAAGTTTGGCCAACAAACCTGAGCTCACAAGGGCAGACCACCACCCTACGGCACCAGCTCTCCCCTACTGAGAAGGTGGTGAGCTCTGGCAGGTCTTCTATGATTTTGTGAATCAGGTATCGCAGTCTGCTGGGTAAGGGAGGAAACAGCAGCACACTGGACAGGGACACACAAGGCAGCAGACATTATTTGATCAAGTAAACACAGCAGCATTTTTATTCACATAGTTCTTGGAGCGATTAGGCTTAAAGATCACAGTACACATTAAAGATGTGTTATAAACAAACACACAAAACAAATTTCAAACACAATCACAGAAAACTCCAAAGTAAACTGTTAACATAAAAATCTGAAAGAACTTTGCAATTCAATATTTGGTTAAACAGTTTTTATTAGACCCATTAACAGGCTCATTATAGTTTGGGGACTTAGAATAATGCTTTCATGATGACTAGACATTTTTCTCATAGCTGCAGTGCCTTTTTTTAAAATATTGCCTCTATGAACCAAAGTTCAACCCCATAATAACGGCTAAAACTGATTTTATGCTGCGCTCCCATACTATTCTGGCATTTCAGGAGCACTAAAATTGAGTTTTGGAAATTCTATGGACTCAGATTGTTTGGAAACACCAGGACTGGGGGGCTAGCATGGCGACAGGACAGGAAAAATGCCCACTGCATGTTCTCTCTGTGTTTGTATAGGTGTATTTAAGCTTTCACCCAGAGCCTAACGGTATACATGCTGTGTTAATGAATGGTTCTAAATTGGCCTTAAGTTTGAATAGTTGTCTGTCTCTATGCACGACCCATGTATTGGACTGGCAACACATCAACAGTGCACTTCGCCCAGTGGAAGGTGGATAAAGCTCCAGTTCACCCCATGACCCTAAATTGAAACACTACTTGACAGTTTGGACATGCAGACGCTGACATCTTTTGGAAAGAATCAGTTCTCCAGAAAATAGTGTCACCATTCCAGGAAGATCCCTCGGATTTCTGTGCACAGACACTAAGAGGGTCTCAAGTTTTTCTAATGACTTTGGGTTTCCCCGATGAACAACGGTACAATTATATTTCTGTATAAGCGTCAATATCTGATTGTAAAGCAGAGCACCTATTAGTACTTGACCTTATTTCAAATAACCAAATAGACTAAGCTACGTTTTAATTTTGTTTTTATATTTATCATTTATTCTCAGATCGGCAGACAACACTGAGGCTGCAGCTGAAAAAATAAAAACTGAATTTTAAGCTTGAATTATTAAACTACTTGATTTGAATGCATCAGATTCTTCCATGTTTTAATGACAGAGTTCTGTTCTGAGGTCTGTTAACTTAGATTCAGCATTTTTGCTCACTTATTTTCTTGGCCTCAAATAGGCCAAACTTATTAATACAGTGACTTTTTCCCAGTCTCACTGACCAAAGCGCTACATGTTTAATAGTTTAATCTTGATTTGGAAAATCAGCCCTTCTGTGGCCAGTACAGTTATCAGTAAATGTGCACGCACAGGGTAAACTCTGCGTTAACTCAGCAGGCTGCTAACCATCTTCGTGTGATCACATCCTGACTGCCAGTGCTAGGGTAAGTGATTCTGAACTCACTTTGTGTTTGTGTCTAGGCTCAAGTGCATGAGTGAAAATGGTTACAGTAATGTAGCTCAGTAAAGAAAGAGAATTAAAAAAATGTATTAAAAAATTGAGGTTCAAGAAAATCGAGACAACTGGCTTCCGTGGTAGAAAATCTGAATATGATACCCAGTATTTTCTACACTGTTTTTTTTTTTAATTTCTGATCTGATATTTTGATTTCCCGTGCCTGTGTTTATTATCTCCTTAATGAAACAAAAGGCACAGTGATAATCAGGCATGACTGTCTGTTTCTATCCTATTCGTTTTCTTTAGAATGTAGGAAACCGGAGTTTCAACACATGTGCCATTTGTTTACACAGTGTTAACCTGTGTATGTTTACTAAACAGGTTCACTAATAAATCACTATAACCGAGAAGGAAGTGATCACTTCATGTGATGAAACTGCTCGGGTTGCTCCATCTTTCTTAACTTTACCTGTTGTGGCTGTTTTTCTGTTGGTATATTTCCAGCTCATCCAGGACATGATGCAAGAAGTTATTTTCTTGTTTTGGGAGATACACTCCATCGAAACAGGGGAACGCCAGGGTGGACGGAGAAAGAAAGTCGGGTCCTGCTGACAACAGGGTGAAGTGAACTTCCTCGCTCGTCCTAATTAAAAATCAAAATGAAAAGTGACAGTGATCACCACTGCTAGCCAGCAACATAACTTGAACAAGGCAATATTAAGCGTTTGCTAATGCCAAACAAACACGTAAAACTAGCTGCATCTTCGGTGTTTACATGTGCAATTAAAAGTTAAACCAAAGCTAGCTTTCTTTGCTTAACATTAATTCATGAGTGGTGCTAATGTTAACCGCCTTTCTAGCTATGGTTAATAACTGTGAATATTAAATCGAATACTCTTACAGCTGAGGCTGAAGCGTACAGTATTGAT